TCTTGTTGCCCAGGCTGGAATGCAGTGGTGCAATCTCAGCTCACTGTAACCTCTGCCTCCCAGGTTCACGTGATTTTCCTGCCTCAGCCTCCCTGGCTAATTTTTGTATTTTTATTTTATTTATTTTTTATTTATTTATTTATTTTTTTGAGACGGAGTCTCACTCTGTAGCCCAGGCTGGAGTGCAGTGGCCGGATCTCAGCTCACTGCAAGCTCTGCCTCCCGGGTTCACGCCATTCTCCGGCCTCAGCCTCCCAAGTAGCTGGGACTACAGGCACCCGCCACCTCGCCCGGCTAGTTTTTTGTATTTCTTAGTAGAGACGGGGTTTCACCGTGTTAGCCAGGATGGTCTCGATCTCCTGACCTCGTGATCCACCCGTCTCGGCCTCCCAAAGTGCTGGGATTACAGGCTTGAGCCACCGCGCCCGGCCAATTTTTGTATTTTTAGTAGAGACGGGGTTTCATCATGTTGGCCAGGCTGGTGTTGAACTCCTGACCTCAAGTGATCCACCTGCCTTGTCCTCCCAAAGTGCAGGGATTACAGGCGTGAGCCACCGCGCCCGACCCCATCTTGTATTTCTTTAAATATGATTTCCTTCAGTGATGTGAACATATTAATAATGGCTGTTTGAAGTTTGTCTACTAAGATTGGCACCTGGGCACCCTCCAAGCCAGTGTCTATTGCCTTTCTGCTCCTTGTAAGTCCGTCTGCTAAGACCGGCACCCGGGCGCCCTCCAAGCCAGTGTCTATTGCCTCTGCTCCTTGTAAGTCCGTCTGCTAAGACCGGCGCCCGGGCGCCCTCCAAGCCAGTGTCTATTGCCTCTGCTCCTTGTAAGTCCGTCTGCTAAGACCGGCGCCCGGGCGCCCTCCAAGCCAGTGTCTATTGCCTCTGCTCCTTGTAAGTCCGTCTGCTAAGACCGGCGCCCGGGCGCCCTCCAAGCCAGTGTCTATTGCCTCTGCTCCTTGTAAGTCCGTCTGCTAAGACCGGCGCCCGGGCGCCCTCCAAGCCAGTGTCTATTGCCTCTCTGCTGCTCCTTGTGTATGTGACACTCTTTTGTTTCCCTGAATGTCTTAACTTTGTTGAAAACTGGACATTTTTAATAATACAACAGATTTCCTTCTTTCCCTAGGGTTTTTTTCTTTTTTCTTTTTTAAAGACAGGGTCTCATTTTGTCACCCAGGCTGGAGTGCAGTGGTATAATCATAGCTCACTGAAGCCTTGACCTCCCAGGGTCAAGCAATCCTCCTGCCTCAGCCCCCTAAGTAGCGGGGACTATAGGTGCACGCCACCACGCCTGGTTATTTGTATTTTTTTTTTTTTTTTTTTGAGACGGAGTCTCGCCTGTCGCCCAGGCTGGAGTGCAGTGGCATCTCGGCTCACTGCAAGCTCCGCCTCCCGGTTCACGCCATTCTCCTGCCTCAGCCTCCGAGTAGCTGGGACACAGGCGCCGCCCTGCCCGGCTATTTTTTATTTTAGTAGGACAGGTTTCACCTGGTTCATCTTGACTGTGATCCCCCCTCGCCTCCAATGCTGGATTACAGCTGACCCACGCCCTGTATTTTTTTTTAAATGTAGAGACAGGGTTTTGCCATGTCGCCCAGGCTGGTCTCAAACTCCTGGACTCAAGCGACTTGCCCACCTAGGCCTCCCAAAGTGCTGAGATTACTGGCGTGAGCTGCCGCGCCCGGCCCAGGGGTTGTTTTTGTTTGCTTGCTTGTTCAGTGTGTGGACTTGTCTGGGATCCAAAGTACAGGTGGAAAAGTTGTTTCAGGGAACGTGTGCCTATAAAGACTGCACCATGCCTGTACTCTGCTTGCCCGACACTGACCACACCCACTGCCAACACCCAGAACAGGCTGTGTGCTGGGTACCAGCCCCCCCGTGCCCGCCTCACCCTAACTGCAGCCCCCTATGCCCGCATCACCCTAGCTGCAGTCACCCGTGCCCACCTCACCCTAGCTGCAGCCCCCCTGTGCCCACCTCACCCTGGCTGCAGCCCCCCTGTGCCCGCCTCACCCTGGCTGTAGCCCCCTGTGCCCGCCTCAGTTTCCGGGCTGCAGTGGGGGATCTCCACCCAGGACACTGGCACTTCTCCACTCCTCGTCACAAGCGCAGGCCTGTGGGTGATGTTTTAGACACAATGATGAGCATGTGTGTGCAGTCAGGCCTTCTTCAAGCACTCAGAGAAGATCCGCCGAGCAGTGCCCCACCGACTCTGGCAGCAGCAGATAGTGATGAAGAGAATGGTACCCAGAGTCTTGTTTTCAAACCCGACCAACATCTTCCAAACTCTGCTGCTCTGGAACAGCTCCCAGAGGCCTGTTTTTGGCGCATACTGAAAGTCAACATCAAACACAAATTGGAGGGCAAAGACTTTTTTTTTTTAATTGGACTTGGCTTTGACGAGTACTGACAAACCCTGCAGACACTAGTACAATTTGATCGTAAACAAAGCCCTTGCCAGCACAGTCCAGCAAATTCGGAGAAAACACATACAAAAGTTAAAAGACAGCTCGATTTTATCGTCCTCCCAACACTTGCAACTGTTTCCAGATTTTCTGTGCAGTCTTCTTTGTGCTTTCAGTTCAGTCAAAATTAGAAAGGACAACAAACTTGTAAAGTCAGACGCCTAACTGTGCAAAACTGACCAGACCATGGAGAAGGGGGAGGCACCATTTTACAAAATATTATTAAGATCACCAGCATTAATTTAAATTATTTTCTTTTCTGGACTTCCAAGTCCACTTGGCAATTTTACTTAGGAAAATATCATGCTTAAATAGAAAACTGGTATTCTAAACACATTTTCTTTATGTGACATATTCTTGTGTGTCTATGTAATGAGAATTTTTAAAAAATTGTTTTCTTCCTGCTGTCAAAACTTCGGCATTAAAAATAAGGGACTGTAAACCTAGTTGACTTACCCATAAAAAGGAGTAAGTTCGGAGAATGAGAGAAGGACCAACAGAATCCAAGCACCCTGTCACTCCCAGCCCGGACCTCTCAGGCGTGGTTTTGACAGGAGGTGCGTTTATGGGGCATTCACTGGCTCCTCAGAATGGACAGATAATATAGAAATGCTAGGAAGAAACATTCCTGCAACAGTCTGCAGAACAAATGTGCCAGTTTTGCCTTAGAATGTCTTAAGACATCTCAGCAATGTTGGATCATATGGCCCCTTTGGCTATATGACCCATCTTTAAAGCTGAAATAAAAATTGTTAGAAAAATATTCTAGGAGGAATGAAACTAAAAAAAAAAAAAAAAAAAAAAGAAAAGTTAAAAATATGTGCTCACCTTAATTGTTTCACTGTGTCAGTTTTGGTTCTGAATGTGACGTGAGGATCCTATCCAATGCAGCTATTAAACCATGCAGCCACCACAGGTATGTCGTACGTAAGACCTCATTACAGTGACGATTTAACAGCACAAGTTAATTAATTTTTTCATGGCTCATCATGACAAAACGATTACAGAGTAGGCGAAGAACAGAGTGAGTGCTTTCTTCTCACCAGGGCCTTCATCAGTGAGTCAACTGCTCTTGACGCCAGCAAGTCAGTCTGATGTTCCCAGGTGAAACCCGCCCTTGGCTCCGTGAGCGAATGAGACCGAGGTAAACCCAATGCAGCTCTGCAACCCCAGGGACTGAAGCCACGTTGTCCAAAGCCATAGCTGGGACCTTGGAGAACCTGGGGCCCTCTGCTGGGAGGCAGCAGTGAAGGGGACTGGCCGGCTTTTGGTGAAAAACCGGGGTTCCTGTATGGGGCGCATAACGGGAGGCAGGCGGCTTTCACCTCCAGGCCTGAGCAGAGCGCGGCTGGCTGGGAGAGCAGCATGCCAGCCCCAACCGTGCGCCCGTGCCCTCTTGCTGCGCAGGCGGGAGCGGCGGGAGCTGCGGGAGCATGGAGAAGGCGCGCAGCCTTGGCGGCTCTCCTCCGCAGCCGCTCACTCTGAATCTGCAGCTTCTCCAGCTCTCAGGCCCAGGTCAGACGCTTTCTCAAACAGATCGAGCAATTGCTGCTCAAAAGAAGGCCTCATTTCTGTTTCCCCAACGAAAGCCTGAGTGCCTTCCGCCCGTGTTTGTCACGAATTTACAGGAGAATTGTCTAAACTCTTAAGCACTCGCTTCCGCGTTTGAGAGGAAAGGTCGCGGAGCGGGAGCGCAGGCTCCAGATACGCACGGCAGCCTCCAGGGAAGATGGGGAGCTGCCCTGGAGCCGGTCAGGCAGTGACTCGGCTGGAACGTGGACGGAGAGAGAGAGAGACGCAAGGGCTTGGAGGAATGAGTGTGCTCCACGCGAGGACCTCAGCAGAGGGCTCAGCACGGGGCGGGGTCCTGGGTAAGAGCTGGGGGCTGCGCTGGCCTCCCGAGAAGACACTTTGGGCTTGCCGTAGAGGTAGGAAAACAGGGAGGGAAACCGGGTAGCGGGGAGGAGAAGAAAAAGCCCCCCGAACACAGAGCCTCTTCTTTCCTCACCCCTACCTGTCCACACCCCCAGCTGAGCACATGTAGAAAAACTATGGTATTGCTGATTCTGTGACAAGAATCTTCCCATCGGTAACCTGCCGAACACCCACAGAACATGGCAATCAAGCCCCACATGCTTTGAAAAGAAAACAGATTGTTCAGACTAACAGAAACCAACTTAGTACAGCAAATACAGGAATGAGGACCAAATTCCGCACAACTGGGAGCTCAACAGGAAGTGCAATTCCACCTCTCATGTACCAACAGCACTGACTGATTTAAAGTTCCGACCAACGTGCTCTCCTCAGCTTCAGGGAGGGTCTCACTTCCCACACCAACGGGAATCACTGAGGTTACCCAAAAATGTAAAATCCTGGAGAGCTCGAACACAAACATGGTTTGTAGCAAAAGATTCAACCAAGACGCCCGCAGCCGCTACAGAGGGGCCAGGACGCAGCAGCCCGCGGGCACGTTCAGAACCTCGTGCACACAACTTACGGGAACGTAGAAAATCATAAAAAAGGCCCCACATTCGGAAAGGTATAATTTATAGCGTATTCTGTACAAAAGCAGTCTTTTACAAGGGACTCTGCTGCCCCTCAGAAGAAATCCACAGCCCTGGGCCGTCTCCTCGGTGTGGCGGTCAGGGGCTTCTTGGCCACCAGGGGCGAGCTGGCCGGTGAGCTGGCGGGGGTCTTCAGCACCCCGTGGAGGGGCCTCTGTTCAGGGTCGAAGGCCACTCGGGAAGGGCCCGTGGGACTGACCAAGATACTCTTGTCTGTCTTCTTGAATTCTGTCCCAAATGAGAGCAAGGCCCCATGTTAAGCAGGTCCAACAGCTGTCCCTCCAACAGCTCGGACAGTGTCCTGCCTGGGTGCCAACCCTGCCCATTTGCTAGGACGAAGCAGGGCCATCTCAAGGCCCTGCAGACAGCAGGCCTGGGAGCCTTCTGAGGAAAGGAGGGCAGTGAGGCCATGTCCCCTGCCTCAACTCACCCTCCCAAGGCCGCCTATACAGACCAAGCGGAGCTGCTGGTAGGGTGGCTCCTGGAAGGGTGAACATTGAGGGTGGGGGTGTTTTGAACAATGAGTGGACTAGGCATTTGAGTCTGGGACGAATCTGTGCTATGTGGAGGGCAGGATTCGTCCTGCTCATCCAGTTGTAAAGGCTAGGTGAGCTCCTCAGGCTCTCTGAGAGTCTCTTTTCCCTAAACATACACGCTCACACACTTGTGCATGCACACGCACACACACACATACTGGCACATGTACACACACTCACACATACACACACGCACAATTATTTGCAGTTCCCAACAAGAGTCAGGTCCTAAACTCGTTATAATACTTTTTTTTTTTTTTTTTTGCGATGATGGAGTCTCACCCAGTCTGTCACCCAGGCCGGAGTGCAGAGGCATGATCTCGGCTCACTGCAACCTCTGTCTCCTGGGTTCAAGCAATTCTCCTGCCTCAGCCTCTTGAGTAGCTGGGACTACAGGCTCTTGCCACGACGCCCAGCTAATTTTTATATTTTTAGTAGAGATGGGGTTTCACCATGTTGGCCAGACTGGTCTGGAACTCCTGACCTCGTGATCCGCACACCTTGGCGTCCCAAAGTGCTAGGATTACGGGCATGAGCCACTGCGCCTGGCCTATAATACTTTTTAAAACTTTGGTTTCCTTTGTAAAAGCAACTCGAATGGATGGCACCGATATGAAAAGTATCAAGATAGGGGTTACCCTTCTCCGTCCCCCAGGAAGCAAGTTGTTCCGAAGTTTCGCAGAGAGACAGCTACAGCTGATGGACCACTACAATCTCAAATGGCCTCTCTGTGGGACGGCTTTCAGTATTTAGAAAGACACTTGGGAGAACGGCTTTTTGGATCACGTCTCTCCGGGTAGCCTCTCTTAAGAGGTCCCAGGCAACTGGCTGCCCGCTCACCATTGGCACCCCACTCACAGCCCTTTGAGGACGAGGGACACACAGGTGCTTCCTTCTGACTCAGAAATGGGCAGTGAGGGGTGGGCTCGGTGGCTGATGTCTGTAATCCCAGCTCTTTAGGAGGCTGACGCAGGCGGATCACCTGAGGTCAGGAGTTTGAGACCAGCCTGGCCGACATGGTGAAAAAAGACAAAAATTAGCTGGGCGTGATGGCATGCGCCTGTGATTCCAGCTACCTGGCAGGCTGAGGCAGGAGAATCGCTTGAACCCGGCGGGGGACGGAGGTTGCAGTGAGCCAAGATCTTGCCACTGCACTGCAGCCTGGTTGACAGAGCGGTGAGACTCTGTCTCAAAAAAAAAAAAAAAAAAAAAAAAAGAAATGGGCAGTGAGGAGCTCGGACCCCACCTCTCTCCTCAGCGCCTGTGGAACCAGGCTGCGAGCCTCGCCAGGAGCCGCAGCTGTGCTCCAGAGAAACCTGCCGCCGGCAAAACCCACTTACCTGCAGTCATGTTTCTGTTCAGCCCGAAGGTGACTTTCTTGGAGCTGGACGGTGTCTTGTTTAGCTGCAGAAGAGAAATAACAGGAACAAAAGGAGTAATGCAAGTACAACAGAGGCACTTAATTTCCCTGTCAGGTTTTTTTGGAGAACCTGCCCTGGAGGGGACGTCGCCCATACTGCTGCTTACTGAGTGGCACATATAGGGAGAGGCCAAAGGGACCACGGCCAAGACTGAAACCAACCCTGCTGTCCGGCTTCACCAGGACCGCCCTCTGTCTTTCCCAGTGTCCCACGCGCCTCCCCCAGCCCAGGGTCAGTGGTGCTGGCACTCTTGGCCCATCTGCTGCGGTCACAGCCTCATCACCACCACAGGGTTCTACGATCCAGGGAAGAAAGGCAACAGTGAAGATGCCTGAACTGTCCAGAAACAGTTCACCACTGAGAACCCATGAGGAAAAATGCCAAGACCCCCCTGTCTTTGGCTGGAGAGTTCTGAAGTTCTAGCTTGAAGACTCTATGACATCGATGAGACGATGCCTACAATGGAATCTCACTTTAGTGGACGATGGACACAGTTCCCAGCTTCTCGTGCACAAGGACTCCAAGCTATCTGCACATTCTAACCGTTCACCACAATCAACGATCTTCTTCCTACTCACATTCCCGGAAGCGGATCCAGCCTGCATTAGGAAGCACTTCCTCAAGTTCCTGCTCTGACCCACATTTCTAGAAGTGTGGACCTCCTGCTGCTGACCTGTACCACCTACGTATTAACACTGACATTTCACGAGAAAACTGGTTTCTGCACACCCTGAGCTGGAAGCCCTGGGAGGCAGAATGTGTGGATCAGCCGTCCCTCAAAGTCCCCTTCCTGACTGCGATCCCTCAGGGTGGGTCCCAGACCACCCAGACCTCATGCTACCCTGGCTGCGGAACCTGTCTGCTGTGGGCAGGCTCAGAGGGCCACAGTGGGACTCCAGGCCTGGCATGGGAAGCACTGTCAGCTCAAGCCCATCTGTGCCCTTGTGGTGAAACGTGCTTTGTCACTCTGGGGAGGGTGCACACCTGGACGGCTGAGCCTGGGGGGTGGGTGGCAGGGCTGCTCTTGGCTCTTCTGAAGAACAGGGGCTTTGGTAAGAAGGGGGTGTCAAACTTCACAAAGTCGCTTTCTGCCCTCAGCTTCTGCTTCTTCAGGGAACTGAAAGTCCCACTGCTTCCCTATGTGAGAGAGGGGTGAGAAGCAGAGAGGAGGGGTCAGACAACAGAGCCTGCTGTGTTGCCCACGCACACAGCAGGGGAAGGCCGAGCCCCACAGCGGATCCAGCCCACCCCAGAGCCTGCAGTTTTCTGCACTGCGCTTGCAGACAGCCCTTCCATTCGGCAGAGCTCAGGCTTCACATACAACACGACCACCTATCATGGCACCATGCCAAGAGGGGCGATGAAAACGCCTTCTCAGAGTAAGGACCCACTTTTATCTTCATCTTCAAATTGAGGATTTCAGCCTTTCAAAGCCAATCTGTTAGAGAATAATTCACTCTCCCATTTGTAGCTGAATCGTCACTGCCCTGGCAGCCTGGTGTGGAGGGCAGTGATGCCCATATGGGGGCTGTGGGTCCCTCACAGGCAGGCCCAGGACACTCACTGGGTGTGCAGCGACTCACAGCCACCCAGAGAGAGACCGGGTCTCGTTCTGGGCTCTCAGACGTGTAGGAAACCCAGTGCCACTGATGACACACGGGTGGCTCTGGCAGGATCAAGTGTGCCGCCTGGAGGGCAGGGAAGCCTGAGGAGCTTCTCCTGTGTGCCTTCCCTCCGCCGGGAGAGGTGGCAGGGGAAAGCTTCCCTCGACCCTGGGACTGACTGAGCAACACCCCATCCTCTTTACAACAAGCTGCCAGGGGCCTGAGAAGACGGCAAGAAAGGCAATATCTCTGGCCCTCTTGGTGAGGAAGCAGCACTGAGGGCATGAGGGACAGGCTGCAGTCCAGGGAGATGAAGGCACTGTGAGGTAGGAGAGACTCGAGGCTAGAAATGGGCCTCCTGCCGTCTGGCTCAGTGCACTGCTTCCCCTGGGTAAGGCTTTCCTGACCATAAACTAACTCACTAGCCACTTGCAGACACTGTTAGCCCCAAACCAGTACTTAACCAGGTCCACACGTGTCCACTTCAACAAAGGAGATGTCACAACCTCCGCAAAGCGGTGTTTGCAAAGCAAGATCTGACCAAGGTGTGCAAACTCTGTGAAGGGCAGAGTTACTTTCTGCTTTGCAGACCACAGGTCCCTGTCTCTACTGCTTGCCCCTGCCGCTGCAGTGTGAAAGTGGCCATGGACCTGCCCATACGAGTGCATGTGGCTTTGTTCCAGTGAAACTACGTTTGCTGGCCCTGGCCTGGAAGCCCAGTGCACCCACAGGTGGTGTGAAAAGCGGATCAGGGCCAAGCGCAGGGGCTCACACCTGTAATCCCAGCACTTTGGGAGGCCGAGGCTGGTGGACTGCTTGAGCCCAGCCTGGGCAACAAGGCAAAACGCCGTCTCTACAAAAATAACAAAAAATTAGCTGAGCATGGTGATGTTGTCTGTAATTCCAGCTACTTGGGAGGCTGAGGCAGAAGAATCACTTGAACCTGGGAGGTGGAGGTTGCAGTGAGCCGAGATTGCGCCACTGTACTCCAACCTGGGTGACAGAGCCAGACCCAAAACCAGATCAACAGCTTGGTTCCTCATTTCTATCTGGCTCTAGAGATCCAAGGGGAAGGAAAGTCTCTCCATTAAAAAGATAAGTGGTCCGGCTAGTGAAGTTTCTTTGGCAGGGAAGTGGGGTGGTGGGGTGGGGAGCTAACAAAAGAAAAGAATATAGAAAAGAAGGTAAGTGAGGCAAGAGAATTTTGGGTTTCCTCTTTTGCCAAAGGGGCCTGGACTGGCCATGGGCTGATGAAGAAAACCAGACCCGCCTTCAACAGAGGCCTAGACCGGCCTGAACACGCTGGGGCAGCAGTGCCTGGCCCATGGATAACCTTCCCAGCTCAGAGCGGGCCCTCCCGAACCCAAACATGTGGTCTGGGGGAGTGAAGGTGACCGATGAGGAGAACCGAAGTACTGGTCACCTGTGATTTCCTCCTCAGTGAAGGCTGTTGTGAACATGCCCTATTCTTTTTTTTTTTTTTTTTTTTTTGGCGGAGTCTCGCTCTGTCGCCCAGGCTGGAGTGCAGTGGCGCGATCTCGGCTCACTGCAAGCTCCGCCTCCCGGGTTCACGCCATTCTCCTGCCTCAGCCTCCCGAGTAGCTGGGACTACAGGCGCCCACCACCTCGCCCGGCTAGTTTTTTGTATTTTTAGTAGAGACGGGGTTTCACCGTGTTAGCCAGGATGGTCTCGATCTCTTGACCTCGTGATCCGCCCGTCTCGGCCTCCCAAAGTGCTGGGATGACAGGTGTGAGCCACCGCGCCCGGCCCAACATGCCCTATTCTAACTGCTGCTGAGTCCAGAGACCTGGCTGCCAGCCCCCACCCTTCCTCTCAGGAGGCAGTGGAGCCCCCCGGACGCGTTTGAGCGCCTCTGCGGCGAGCTGGCCTGCGGGTGCTCCCACCTTACCAGAGCCTGGGCTTGCCTGGCTTCGGACTCCAGCGCCCCGTTGTGCTCTACCAGGTCTGACATCGCTCTCATTTTCCTCCTCTTTTTCAAGCTTGCTGTTTTCTGGCTGGACAGGCCACAGAGCTCCAGGCTGCCAGGCCCTGCCTTCTTCTTCTGCAGCCTCCTGCACTGGGGCAGGGTGGTGTGGCTGTTCGCCCTCTCCGCGGGGCCTGTGGGAGGGCCTCCCTGCTGCAGTGGAGGCCAGGCAGGCGTGGACAGGCCACTGCCATTGACAGGGACAACTCCAAGCTTCCGCTTCCTTTTTAGGAGTTGGGCTCCACCTGTTGGGGACCCTCTAGGTCCCTGAGGATGACTGCCACTGGGGCCACTCTGAGACATGTCCTCTGGGGGCAACCCTGCTGATGCCAACATTTCCCTGTGGGCCCTTGGACTCTTCTTCCGCGGTCGTTTCCTTTTATTGTGCATGGGGACGGCTGGAGGATGCTCGGAGCCACTCTCCTCCCCGGTGCTGGACGTGGCCTCTGTGCCTGGCTCGGCCACACGTGCCTTCAGGGCTTTCGGCTCAGCGGCCTCAGACTCCCTGCCCCTGTTCTGTTCCAGGGACGGAGCTGCATCCCCTGGGCCTGGACTTTCAGGCTGCAGGTGGTGCTTCTTCTTCTTCTTCCTTCTTCTCTTTTGAAGACTGCTTTCACTGTCCTCTTCCTCTGCACAAAACACTCTGCTTCCTAAAAACACAGAAACCCATCAATAAGCCTCCCAGTGCCGGCTGGGCCAGAGTCCTGCTGGTGATTCTGAGACAGTATGATTGGCGGACACAATTTCCTGACATTCTACCACCAGGAGAGTTTCTGTCTCCCTTGAGGTACTCGGTGTGCCCACTACCTTTGTCGTCTGGTCCTACTTCCTCCACTCCCAACTGTGACTGGAAGCCCTCCTTTTGTCCATTTATAAACACACATAGAACTGAAATAGTCCGATTTCCTCTAATTTTAGGGCCCAAAGGTAAAAACCATAGATCTAGACTGGTCATCAAACAGCTGCCCCCTTGTGTTCCTTGCAGCTCCTGCTTCCCTGCAGAGGTGCCCTGGGGAGCAGGCGGACGTGAGCGGGGTGAGGTGGGGACACGGTTCCACCGAAACAGCAGAACACTTGGTAAACCACCTTTACCTCTCAGCCATTACAAACCGAAGCTTTGGGCTCTGCTAATGCTTTGTGACGGCACGAGCTCCAGTCTCTGATGCCTCCGTGGTGCACGCCGCTCCCCAAGGGCTCAGTCATAAGCCCTCAAGAGAAGGGCCCTTCTCTTCAGCTTCACAGCTTACCTTTCTCCTTTTCCAAGTTAGTTTTCTCTAAAAGTTTATTTCCTTTCTTCTTATGCTTTCCTTGACGGAGGATTTGGTCATCTTCATCAGCAGAAATGTCCTCCGCAAAACTCAGTTGAGATATACTGCTTCCTAGATGCCAGAGTGACACACTGTCAGCTTCCCCAGGCGCTCGAGAGTCTGCCCCAGGGGCCTAAGAGCCCCCTCCCAATTTCTGTCTCATCATGATCGTTCCTCACTGTTTCTCCCACCCAAACCTGAGCGCCACTGACACAGGAATTACAGACTTAAAAAAGCTTTGTGGGTTTCTCAACCAAGGCAAGGCAAGGGATCACAAGCCCTCGGTGACACCCTCCATGGCTGGACTCTGGGGGCCTGGCTAATGTGGTCTCTGCATTCCAACCAGCTCACTGGTGCCCTTCCCAATTCCAAGTGTCCCTAGTGCATGAGGGGTATGGGGTGACTTCACTGACTTGTCCAAACGTAACAGCAAATGAAAGGGATCCTGAGAAATTACATTTTACCTTCACAGAGTATCCAATTAAAACCTTCCTAGGCCACTGCAAATCCATCTAGTTAAAACAATAAAAACCAAACCAAAACATCGCAGTATCCACACATGAGAGCAGTCTGCCCTCTCACTTTGGCGGTTAGGGGAGAGCCCAGGATAGGAAGGTGGGCAAGCTGCAGGGGGCCCTAGGCTTGTGTCACTTCCCATGGCTGTACTGTGGTATGACTAGGTAAGGGCTAGTCTTTCTTTCTGAAAAGCTGGGGTCTTGGCCGGGCGCGGTGGCTCAAGCCTGTAATCCCAGCACTTTGGGAGGCCGAGATGGGCGGATCATGAGGTCAGGAGATCGAGACCATCCTGGCTAACGCAGTGAAACGCCATCTCTACTAAAAAAAAATGCAAAAAACTAGCCGGGCGTGGTGTCAGGCGCCTGTTGTCCCAGCTACGCGGGAGGCTGAGGCAGGAGAATGGCGTAAACCCGGGAGGCGGAGCTTGTAGTGAGCTGAGATCCGGCCACTGCACTCCAGCCTGGGTGACAGAGTGAGACTCTGTCTCAAAAAAAAAAAAAAAAGTTGGGGTCTTGCTCTGTCACCAAGGCTGGAGTGCAGTGGCGTGATTACAACTTACTGTATCCTGGACCTCCTGGGCTCAAGTGATCCTCCCCTCTTAGCCTCCCAAGTGCTGGGACTACAGGCTCACGCCACCATGCCTGGCTAATTTTTTAATTTTTAGTAGATATGAGGCCTCGCTATTTTGCCTGGGCTAAGGACTATTATTTCTTATTAGAGGTTTTCAGTAAAGTTCTTTCAATCTTGTTTCTCAGCATTTGGCATCAACGCCCCCAGTGGGGTCCATATTCATGAAAAACACCGTGAATGATGATTCTCGGCGCACCTCACCTTCAGAGAGGTCTTGGAATCTAAAAATAAAAAATAAAAATAAAAAAAATTAAAAAAAAGTAACAAATGTTCATAAAGAAATCCCTTCTGTCTTCTGTAGACATATGTATTTAATTTTTAAAATACAAGCCATAGTTAAATATTTGTTAGTTCACGTTCTCCTCCAGGAGGGGAGGCTAGACAGGAAATTCCGTGAGGGAAAGGTGGTGCAATACAAAGGCCAAAAAGCTCAAGGCCAGTGCCGCCCTCGGTTACTGTCAATACCAGCAAGGACATGGCAGGCCAAAGATGCACCTTGGCACACCCAAATCAAACTAAGAAATGCAATTTTTTGTTTCGGAAGGCAGAAGTAGCTTAGATCTCTGCTTCTGTTCAATTCTCCAGTGGAGAAAGGCAAAGCTGTGTTTTGCTTTACACAATTTTTGTGCATTAGAACAAACAAGCAGCATCGAAGCGCAGTGTGGGCAGGTGCACGGGGGAGACACTGGATGGCAGGGACCTCGGGCAAGCTAGGACCACCCTGTGCCCTGGGAACCCAGCTGGGAAATGGGCAGAACTACAGGAGTTACTTTCTGGGGGCTTAACATTGGAATACTTGAATGTATGCAAAGTGCTCAGAGCAGTGCCCGGCTCCTAGAGTGTGATCAGACAGTTGTCACCGATGACAGCAAGCCACGCATGAGGCCCTCCGTGAATTCCAGGTCATCATGTCACTATGGTCAGAGTGATGTCAACACTGACAGCTGAATTAACTAACACTTTTGGCATAGCCACATGGGAGGGAGGGGAGAGGTATAGAATTAACCCTATCTATCTCAGTAGCACACCAGCAGAAGACACCTAAATAGCAGCTTCACATCAGTTTCTGGTTGGTTCATTTCACACATGAATAGACTTCACATCACTCTAAGGCAGCTAAGAGATGAGTATGGCTGCACTGGAAGAATGGAATCTGAGGGGTGGGACTGCTGTTTCCATTAAGCTTTTCAGTTTACTTGTGTCTATTACATTGCTATGCACAAATGCATTAAAGGACAAAAAAAGAAGAAAGAAAAAAGATAAGCATGCAGATGGCTTGTCCCACACCAGGAGATGGGAACTAAAGGAATGATGATGTCAGAACCCTCCCTCCAGTCACTGACTTCTTGATGAGTTTGGAGAGGCGCTTCCTGTTGAAGGGGGGCGTGTTCTTCCTGCTGGTCATTTCCAGGAGTCGATCGGCAACAGCCTTATAGTCAAACTAGGCAGGAAGAGAAACTAAACATAAGTCTGCAGCCAAACAACACTGCCTGACTTGGACATTTACATCTGCTAGTAAGAGAAGCCCCTACTGAAGCATTTGGCAACAGACAGGCTAAACAAGCATATGCTGGGACTTGGCCACCAGGAGCACAAGCACTACCTTTGAAAAATGCGTGTTCTGTTTATTCTTGGGAGAAGCTGGGTAAGTAATTCTTTTTTTTTTTTTTTTTTTTTTAATTGTGATAGAGTACCCACAACAAAATTTACCTGGGTGTGCTTTTTTTTTTTTTTTTTTTTGAGGCGCAGTCTCTGTCACCCAGCCTGGAGTGCAGTGGCATGATCTCGGTTCACTGCAACCTCAGCCTCCCGGGTTCAAGTGATTCTCCTGCCTCAGCCTCCCGAGTAGCTGGGATTACAGGTGCGCGTGGCTGCGTTTTTGTATTTGTTTTTGAATTTGTAGTAGAGACGGGGTTTCACTGTGTTGGCCAGGTTGGTCTCAAACTCCTAACCTAAGGTGATCTGCCCACCTTGGCTTCCCAAAGTGCTGGGATTACAGGTGTGAGCCAGTGCACCCGGCCGGAGGGTGTGCTTCTTTTTAAACTGAAGCTAGATTTGCAATCTGTACTTGGCAAACTTTTTTTTATTTGACAAGTGCCACTAGAGCTGGCTCCGTGGTAGAGAACAGAGCAAAGCTTAGCCATTCAAAATAAGTGCTACTATCTCTTTCAAAACCCCATTGTATTTACATTTCCTTGTCTCCAATAAGGTTATTCTCAGGAAGGTGACATTTAGTGACTGAAGGGATTAAAAAGGAGTTTACACTTCAGGCCTTACAGCTTAACTAGCTGTGACCCTAATTCTGTAGTCAGGCTACTCCACAGCAAATCCATATTCTATAAAAAGCAACAACTGCCACCCACCTGGAGAAGGGGTCCTGTGTCCTCAAAGGTTCCGCAGTCATCTCTTCCTCTTTCATCACTGAGTCCATCTTTTCTGGAATGATTTTTGCCCAGTGCTGTCAAAATATACCCAGAGACCAAATTCTTGACATATCAAATACACAGAAGTGACTACTTCCACAGAAGCCACCGTCTAATTAGGTGTCTCTTAACAAAAAAGAAGGTTGGGCACGGTGGCTCACGCCTGTAATTCCAGCACCTTGGGAGTTGAGGTGGGTGGATCACTTGAGGCCAGGAATTCTAGATCAGCCTGGGCAACACGGCGAAAACCCATCTCCACTAAAAATACAAAAACTAGCTGGGCGTGGTTGCGGGTGCCTGTAATCCCAGCTACTCAGGAGGCTGAGGCATGAGAATCGCTTGAACCCAGGAGGCAGGGGTTGCAGTGAGCCGAGATCGCGCCACTGCACTCCAGCCTGGGTGACAGCGAGACTCCGTCTCAAAAAAATAAAAAACGAAAGAAAATTTCTTTCAGGAGAAAAACTCTGCAAAGACATTTATAATTTCCCAGGACATTTTGATTGTTCAGGCTATGGGAATGGAAATAAATCTGGGAAAAAGCACATGTTTTGCCTTTTGCACCCATAAAACCCCAATTCCCTGCTGCCTTCGATGATTCCCTCCCCCACACACTGTCCGGTTAGGACGAAGGCTGTGGTGAATGGGAAGCTCCTGTCCAGGGACGCAGGCAAGCGGATGGGACACTGTATCGCCCTGGACCACCAGGGGTAGGAGCATGGATGCAGGAGTCTGGCCCTAGTCTCAGGTCAGTTTAGGGCCTTGGTGAGAACCTGTCACAGCAGTACGGTCACTTCATGAGCATGCTTCAGGAGACACAAGTCAATATTAACGCAACTTTTAGCACTTAAAACATTCAGAGTGTTACAGCTTATGAAGAAGCAGATTAAACAGACTCAGGAGAACTCAAAATTATCTTAAACATGTACTGTTTCTGGAACCCTCTAAGCTTATTAGTGGTGTGGCATCAGGGCGAGGCCTGGGGAGGATGGGGCAGGTGCAGCACGCATTTGATGAACGTAACTGGGAGGGAACGTCTGGAACTGCACTCGGAAGAGAGTCTGTGTCCAGGTTAGGCTGACAGAAATGTGGGGAGCAGAGGGACCCAGAGACTACTCCCATGTGGTCCCATGACCACGTAACACTTGCTCCAGGTCCTTAGTCAACTCTGTTATCTACACCAAACTTAAAATCAGACTATTTCTTTTTTTATTATTTTGTTTTAGAGATGGGGGTCTCGTTATGTGGCCCAAGCTGGTCTCAAATTCCTGGGCTCAAGTGATCTTCCCATCTTGGCCTTCCAAAGTACTAGGATTATAGGCATGAGCCCCCACACCCAGACTAGACTATTTCTTTTATTCTTTCTTTTTTGAGACAGGGGCGCTGGTAGCTCTGTTGCCCAGGATGCAGTGCAGTGACATGATCATGATTCACGGCAGCCTCAACCTCCCAGGTTCAACTGATCCTCCCAGCTCAGCCTTCTGAGTAGCTGAGACCACAGGTATGTGCCACCATGCTTGGCTAATTGTAAAATTTTTATAGAGTCAGAGTCTTGTTATGTTGCCCAAGCTGGTCTCCAACTCCTAGGTTCAAGCGATCCTCCCACCTCAGGCTCCTAAAGTGCTGGGATTATGGGTATGAGCCACCATGCCTGGCCAGAGTATTTTTTCTTTCTTTTAAAGATTCTTGGCTGGGCACAGTGGCTCACGCTTGTAATCCCAACACTTTGGGAAGCCCAGGCGGGTGGAATACCTGAGGTCGGGAGTTCGAGACCAGCCTGACCAACAGGGAGATACAAATTTTGCCGGGCATGGTATGGTGGTGCATGTCTGTAATCCCAGCTACTCGGGAGGCTGAGGCAGGAGAATCGCTTGAACCCGGGAGGCGGAGGTTGCAGTGAGCCGAGATTGTACCATTGCACTCCAGCCTGGGCGACAAGAACGAAACTCCGTCTCAAAAAAAAAAAAAAAAAAATTTAATTCCTGAAATTACTTCCTGTTGACAAGGTCTAAAAATTAAAAAGAAAAAAAAAATAGATTCTTTATTCTATCTATCTAGCTATCTGTTTATTTATTTTTTGAGACAGGGTTTTGCTTGGTTGCCCAGGCTAGAGTGCAGTGGCACGATCTCAGCTCACTTCAGCCTCTGCTTCCTGGGTTCAAGTGATTCTCCCGCCTCAGCCTCCCAAGTAGCTGGAACTACAGGCACACGCTACCATACCTGGCTAATTTTTTTTTTTTTTTTTTTTGGAGACGGAGTCTCGCTCTGTCGCCCAGGCTGGAGTGCAGTGGCCGGATCTCAGCTCACTGCAAGCTCCGCCTCCCGGGTTTACGCCATTCTCCTGCCTCAGCCTCCCGAGTAGCTGGGACTACAGGCGCCTGCCACCTCGCCCGGCTAGTTTTTTTTTTTTGTATTTTTTAGTAGAGATGGGGTTTCACTGTGTTAGCCAGGATGGTCTCGATCTCCTGACCTCGTGATCCGCCCATCTCGGCCTCCCAAAGTGCTGGGATTACAGGCTTGAGCCACTGCGCCCGGCCACCTGGCTAATTTTTGTACTTTTTGGTAGAGACTTGGTTTCACCATGTTGGCCAGGCTGGTCTTGAACTCCTGACCTCAAGTTATCCAACTGCCTGGGCTTCCCAAAGTGCTGGGATTACAGGCCTGAGCCACTGCACCTGGCCAACCCTGTCTCTAAATAAATAAATAAAACATTTTGGTTTCTTCTTCCAGATTTTTAAAAAGCACAAACAGTCCTAGCCAGAGCAATCACACAAAAGAAATAAATAAATGGCATCCAAACTGGTAACGAGGAAGTCAAAGTCGGTGTTTGCCGATGATACAATCATATACCTAGAAAACCCTAAAGACTCATCCGAAAAGCTCCTAGAACTGGTAAATGAATTCAGCAAAGTTTCAGGATACAAAATCAATGTACACGAATCAGTAGCTCTGCTATACACCAACAACGACCAAGCTGAGAATCATATCAAGAACTCAATCCCTTCTTTTTTTTTTTTTTTTTTTTTTGAGACGGAGTCTCGCTCTGTCGCCCAGGCTAGAGTGTAGTGGTGCGATCTCGGCTCACTGCAAGCTCCGCCTCCCGGGTTCATGCCATTCTCCTGCCTCAGCCTCCCGAGTAGCTGGGACTACAGGCGCCCGCCACCTCGCCCGGCTAGTTTTTTGTATTTTTTAGTAGAGACGGGGTTTCACCGTGTTAGCCAGGATGGTCTCGATCTCCTGACCTCGTGATCCGCCCATCTCGGCCTCCCAAAGTGCTGGGACTACAGGCTTGAGCCACCGCGCCCGGCCAAACTCAATCCCTTCTACAACAGCTGCAAAAAACCCCCCACCAAAACAACAACAACAAAAAACAAAACAAACAACAAAACCTCAAAAACCTTAGGAATATACCTAACCAAGGATGCAGAAGATCTCTACAGGAAAACTACAAAACACCGCTGAAAGAAGTCACTGATGACACAAACTAATGGAAACACAGAAGCACATCCCGTGCTCACGGATGGGTAGAATCAATATTGTGAAAACGACCACACTGGCAAAAGCAATCTACAGATTCAATGCAATTCCCATAAAAATATCATCATCGGCCGGGCGTGGTGGCTCACGCCTGTAATCCCAGCGCTTTGGGAGGCCGAGGCGGGCGGATCACAAGGTCAGGAGATCGAGACCACGGTGAAACCCCGTCTCTACTAAAAATACAAAAAAAAATTAGCCGGGCGCGGTTGTGGGCGCCTGTAGTCCCAGCTACTTGGGAGGCTGAGGCAGGAGAATGGCGTGAACCCGGGAGGCGGAGCTTGCAGTGAGCCGAGATCGCGCCACTGCACTCCAGCCTGGGCGACAGAGCGAGACTCCGTCTCAAAAAAAAAAAAAAAAAAAAAAAATATCATCATCATTCTTCACAGAACTAGAAAAAACAATCCTAAAATTCATGTGGAACCAAAAAAGAGCCTGCATAGCCAAAGCAAGACTAAGCAAAAATAATAAATCTGGAGGCTGGGAGTAGTGGCTCATGCCTGTAATCCCAGCACTTTGGGAGGCTGAGGCTGGTGGATCACTTGAGGTCAGGAGTTCGAGATCAGCCTGGTCAGCATGGTGAAACCCTATCTCTACTAAAAATACAAAGACATATTAGCCAGGTGTGGTTGCGCCCACCTATAATTCCAGCTACTAGGGAGGTTGGGGCATGAGAATTGCTTGAACATGGGAGGCAGAGGCTGCAGTGAGCTGAGATCGCACCATTGCACTCCAGCCTGGCTGACACAGCAAGACTCTGTCCCCACCCTGCAAAAAAACAAAAAACCCAAAAAAACCCAGAGACATCAGAATACCCAATTTCAAACTATACTATAAAGCTATAGTCACCATAATGGCATGGTATTGGTACTGGTATAAAAACAGGCACATAGACCAATGGAACAGGAGAACCCAGAAATAAACCCAAATACTTACACTCAATCGATCTTCAACCAAGCAAACAAACACAAAGTGTAAGGAAAGGACACCCTATTCAAAAATGGTGCTGGGATAATTGTGAAGCCATATGTAGAAGAATGAAACTGGATCCTCATCTCTCACCTTACAGAAAAATCAGCTCGGCCGGGCGCGGTGGCTCATGCCTGTAATCCCAGCACTTTGAGAGGCTGAGGCGGGCGGATCACGAGGTCAGGAGTTTGAGACCATCCTGGTTAACACAGTGAAACCCCGTCTCTACTAAAAATACAAAAAATTAGCTGGGCGTGGTGGCGGGCGCCTGTAGTCCCAGCTACTTGGGAGGCTGAGGCAGGAGAATGGCGTGAACCCGGGAGGCGGAGCTTGCAGTGAGCCGAGATCGCGCCACTGCACTCCAGCCTGGGCAACAGAGTGAGACTCTGTCTCCAAAAAGAAAAATCCAAAAGCAAATGCAATGAAAACAAAAATAGATGGGACCTAATTAAATTAGAAATCTTCTGCACAGCAAAAGAAATAATCAGCAGAATAAAACAGAATGGGAGGAAATATTTGCCAATTATGCAGCCAACAAAGGACTAATATCCAGAATCTACAAGGAACTCAAACAAATCAGTAAGAAAAAAAAATCCCATCAAAAAGTGGGCTAAGGACATAAACAGACAATTCTCAAAAGAAGATATACAAATGGTCAACAGACATATGGAAATGCAAATGAAAACCATAATGAGATACCACCTCACTCCAGCAAGAATGGCCATAATTAAAAAAATAAAAAAATAATAGATGTTGGTGGCTAGGCATGGTGGCTCATGCCTGTAATCCCTGCACTTTGGGAGGCAGAGGTGGGTGTATCACCTGAGGTCAGGAGTTTGAGACCAGCCTGGCCAACATGATGAAACCCATCTCTACTAAAATGCAAAAAATTAGCTGGGCCTGGTGGCAGGTGTCTGTAATCCCAGTTACTTAGGAGGCTGAGGCAGGAGAATCGCTTGAACCTGGGAGGTGGAGGTTGCAGTGAGCTGAGATGGCACCACTGCACTCCAGCCTGGGCAACAAGAAGCAAAACTCAGTCTCAAAAAAAAAAAAAAAAAAAAAGATGTTGGCACAGATGTGGTGAAAAGGGAAGACTTTTACACTGCTGGTGGGAATGCAAACTAGTACAGCCACTATGGAAAACAGTATGGAGATTCCTTAAAGAACTAAAGGTAAATCTATCATTGATCCAGCAATCCCACTGCCGGGTATCTACCCAGAGGAAAAGAAGTCACTATATGAAAAAGACACTTGCACACGCATGTTTATAGCTGTGAAAACATGGAACCAGCCTGAATGTCCATTGATCAGTGAGTGGATAAAGAAAATGTGGTATATATACCGTGGAATACTACTCAGCCATAAAAAGGAATGAAATAATGGTATCCACAGCAACCTGGACAGAGTTGGAGACCATTATTCTAAGTGAAGTAACTCAGGAATGGAAAACCAGAACATTTTATGTTCTTACTTAAAAGTGGGAGCTCAGCTATGAGGATGCAAAGGCTGAAGAATGATACAATGGGCTTTGGAGACTCAGGGGAAGGGGTGGGAGGCAGGTGAGGGATAAAAGACTACACATTGGGTACAGTGTACACTGCTCGGGTGACGGGTGTACCAAAATCTCAGAAATCACCACTAAAGAACTTATCCATGTAACCCAAACCACCTGTTCCCCCTAAATTATCAAGATAAATAAAATAACCTTTTATGAAAAGAAAAATAAAAGCACAAAAATAAACGTTTAAAAACAAATCTGATGCACAACTATTATATAGCCATAATAATTAAAGAAAACCCAAACAACAAATCAGGCTCCTTCTCCATAAAGTTGGTGCTGTGCTTTAAAAAATACATATATATGTATATTAATATTCCTTCGGTCCTTAGTTTTTAGGAACTTTGCTTTCAAATGGTTATATAACACTTCAAAAGCAGGTAAACTGTGACCTAACCATTCCCCTCATTTTGTGCATTCAGGTAAAGCACTGAGAGTTTGGACAGGTCTGCAACTTCAAAAGCATATTCTACCTTAAGTCTGCAGACACAAAACAGTAGTAAGAACGATGCCAGTCCACAGTGGGCATGTAAACATCCCAAGAAAAAGAACCTTGAAGGAAGTCGTGAGTTGAGAAAGGACAGCCACAGAAACAAGCATACGTCCCTTGAGTAACCGGTAGGAATGAGGCCACGCTAAAGTGTTGAAATACGTCAAACAAAACAACAAAGCAAACAAAAAGCACCAGAAAGCACTAGCAGCGACAATGTAAAATCCTTGAGGACAGTCCTGAGATCCTGGGAGGTACAGAAAGCACTAGCAGTGACAATGGTAAAATCCTTGAGGAGAGTCCTGAGATCCTGGGAGGTACAGAAATGTGCGTATGCCACATGGGACAGGTCTCAGGTCTCCCTATAGCCCTGCTAGGCACCCTCCAGGCACAATGAACCCACCTCTGCTGCTTCTCTTGGGAAGGGCTGAGGCAGAGTCATCATCAACTCTAGGTTGCATTCAGTAAGATGCCAACAAATATATTAAGAACTGTTTGTCTGAGGAGGATTTTACCAGAAAGAAAGCTAGACTGACCAAGAACATCCTCCTACCTGTCTTCTTTTTACTGACAGCTCTTCTCATGGACACCTCATTTTCAGGTATCTCCTCAGCAGAGAGGTCACCATCGCCCACTTTTGTCTTCTGTTCCTCCATCGTCTCCTCAGGCACAAAAGGAGACTGATCTACGATAGCTTCGAAGACGCCCCGAGCTATGGTCTGCACCAGGGTGTGGCTGAGGGTAGAAGCACAGCGGAGAGCATGAGATTAGAACGAACGGCCTGGCCTTCTGGCTTCAGGAGCGCAGAGGGAAGCCCTGCACACACGGCTGTGGTCTGGAGTGACCCCTACGGGCCAGCAAACATCTTCGAGGAACTGCCTAAGTGCCACCCAACAGGCATGGGATGCCCAGCAGTCAGATCTTTGGGCGTGGGAGGGCATTCCTGGAATGAGTGAGTCAAATACTGAAGCTAGAAGAGCCAAATCACTGCTCAAAGCTTCGGCCGCCTTCTCCAGCTGCTCTCTGCTGTGAAGCACTGTCCTGGGTACCCGGTGCCAGGATGCATGATGGCAAGCAACTCCCCATGAGCAAGTGCCCGGAGCAGTGGGGACCAAGTGCCACGGAGCAGTGGGGACTAAGTGCCATGGAGCAGTGGGGACTAAGTGGCACGGAGCAGTGGGGACCAAGTGCCACGGAGCAGTGGGAACCAACACGGGGATCACTTACTCCTTAGTCTTCGCAGCGATCTTGCAGAATGGATCAATAAACTTGAGATTCTGATCTGCTAAAAGCTGTAGTTTAGAAAAAGGGAAAAATTGAGAACAGCCTTGCCCTTCTTGACATGTCCTTGAAAAAGGGACCATTCACATCTTTGACAAAGGTGGAGTTAGACCAAGCAATGCCTGTCTCACACAGCCCCAAGGAGCCCCTAGGGAATGTCACAGAAGCCGGGAGCCAGGCTGAAGATCGAGGCCGCCCTCCAGCTACTTGGTATCTCAGTGCAGTGGCTGGAGAAAGGCACCCAGCCCAACATGCACGATCCTATCCGCCCAACACATAGAACAAGGGTGCCCAATCCTGTGACTTCCCCGAGCCACGCTGGAAGAATTGTCCTGGGCCACACATAAAATACACAAACACTAACAATAGCTGATGAGCTAAAAATAAAATAAAATGGAAAAAAAAAAAGAAAAAAAATCTCATAATATTTTAAGAAAGTTTATGAATTTGTGTTGGGCCACATTCAAAGCTGCCCTGGGCCCCATGCAGCTCTCAGGCGGCGGGCTGGACAAACCTGATATAGGACATACGTACACTTCCTCTACAAGAGGGGTCACAGGGACAGTGCCTCCACGTGTGAGACAAAATTATTATTGTTTTGAATATAACATATTTTCTTTTAACTAAAAAAAAAAATACCTGTTCCCTGCAAAACATCTGTGAAAGAAAAGCAAAATCTGTGCATATTCCCACATCCAGAGAATCATTTGCATACTAAAAAATGTATGTTTCCTTTCCAGCCTTTTGTTTCTTTATGAGTATATACCTTAAAAATGTCTACCATTTGCATAGCTTTTCCTATGGCTTTATAAGCTCCCTAGATCCTGAGCATTCCCGTGTTAGTGAGTTCTTCATTGGAGTCTGTAGCTTGCTTTCAATTCTATTTTACAGGTAAGACTGTCATGTACATCCTCAGTGCACAAATCCCGCCCCACCAGCTGCTTAGGACACATTCCTGGACAGGACTGAAGCAATTCACACTGCTACAGTCGCTGGTCATGCGAAGTGCCACCCCACAGCAATTCACTGGCAACTACTGCAAACACTGGTGGCCCTCTCACCCCATGGGCAGCCTGTCAGCAGCTGCTTACCTCCTTCCCCCCAACTTTGGAGAGTTCATCCAGGTAAATATCAATGAAGTGGAATCTCACTCCATTAGGAGACTGACTCTCAGGACACAGGATCTCCTTCATCAGGACATCCAAGAAAACCTTGATTCGGCTAAAGAACCAAACACATGCTTCTGTTAATGACAGTACGCCAACACTTCTCACTTCCCAAAGAGAAACAAAAATACTCGGTCTGGTACCTACATAGCATAGCAATCAATGCAAGACTAAAATCATTTTACAAGGAAAAAAGCAATCACTTAAATCAGTATAAAATGTTAATTGTCATATATACTTAACTATTTTATGCCTTCTACTGGATTTCAATTCTCTGTAGGTAACAACGCATCGAGCTTCTCATGGTTTTCTACAAGTTCAGAAAACTTGACAGACACTCTACTACCTTTTAAGTTTTAAGGCTACCAGATGCTAACTCGAATAGTTTACTGACCTTTCTTCCCAGCCATTTCGCTTCAAGACTTCAAAGGACTGCCTCAGGACCAGACGAATCAGCTAAAGTTAGGCAATTTTTGTAAAAAAAAAAAAAAAAAAAAGGTAAGAAATATTTATCAGCTCAGCAGAATAAGGGGACCAATGAAATTGGTATGGCCTGGTTCCCAAAAGTAAAAAAACATTCACAACACTCATATTTAACTTCTAGATCAAAAAACATATTCAGAGCCAGGAGCAGTGGCTCACGCCTGTAACCCCAGCATTTTGGGAGGCTGAGGTGGGCAGATCATTTGAGGCCAGGAGTTCAAGACCACCCTGGCCAACATGGCAAACCCTCATCTCTACTAAAAATAGAAAAATTAGCCGGCTGTGGTGGTGGGCGTCTGTAGTCCCAGCTACTCAGGAGGCCGAGGCATGAGAATCACCGGAACCCAGGAGGTGGAGGTCGCAGTGAGCTGAGATCGCGCCACTGCACTCCAGCCTGGGGAACAGAGCGAGAGAGACTCTATCTCAAAAAATACCCAACATATTCACTAACGCTCCCCAAACTCATCCTTAAGAGCTGCAAAAGCTAAAACAGAGAAGCTTTCCAGGACACATTCAAATTCTTCCTTCACACTAAGCCTGTGGCGTGTTTTGCTTCACACATAAACCTTTCCATTGCTTTTAAGATAAAGGACATTCTTTTCTTCCCCAGAGTTTTTTTTTTTGTTTTTTTGTTTTTTTTTTTTTGAGACGGAGTCTCGCTCTGTCGCCCAGGCTGGAGTGCAGTGGCCGGATCTCAGCTCACTGCAAGCTCCGCCCCCCGGGTTCATGCCATTCTCCTGCCTCAGCCTCCCAAGTAGCTGGGACTACAGGCGTCTGCCACCTCGCCCGGCTAGTTTTTTGTATTTTTTAGTAGAGACGGGGTTTCACCATGTTAGCCAGGATGGTCTCGATCTCCTGACCTTGTGATCCGCCCATCTCGGCTTCCCAAAGTGCTGGGATTACAGGCTTGAGCCACCGTGCCCGGCCCTTCCCCGGAGTTTTTGAAGTAACTGTGGCAGATCTTACCATATAGTATTTGTCCAGGCGCAGCCTGTCTATTCCTTTCCATTCTCGATTCATGGTTTGCCAAAAGGTCTGAATGAACAGGTGTTCTGCAGTGAACAAAAGGCTCTAAATACTCGACTTCCACATCAACATATTAACATATAGCAAGAAAATAATGAAGAGGAACAAACTAGCATTATTTATTATTCACTTTTCTCAGTAATTCTTGGGCAGCTAGAAAATGTTTGATAATTAAAAATACTCAATCATTTCTTTTACATTTATTTTTAAACATCACTTGGACTGTGTAGATCTTTCACTTTTTCATTTTTTAATTTTTGAGACAGGGTCCCACTCTGTGGCCCAGGCTGGAGTGCAATGGCGAGATCTCAGCTCATTGCAACCTCTGCCTCCTGGGTTCAAGTGATTCTCCTGCCTCAGCCTCCCGAGTAGCTGGGATTACAGGTGAGCACCACCACACCTGGCTAATCTTCGTATTTTTAGTAAAGACGGGGTTTAACCATGTTGGCCAGGCTGGTCTCAAACTCCTAACCTCAGGTGATCCATCCACCTCGGCCTCCCAAAGTGCTGGGATTACAGGCATGAGCCACCGTGCCTGGCCTTGATCTTTTGCATTTAAATAAAAACAGAATAATAGGAAGGGCTGGCAACCTTGTAATGTTAGATTTGAATGTTCTCTGGAGCATTTTTCCTTTATCCACTGCAAAGCCACGTTCCTTTCAAAATAAAAAGATTCCTTGTTCTACTTCTAGTGACTCTTCCGACTGCACTGGTACCTAACAATCAGTCCAAAACCATTAATTCTGACACTTATGTAATCCATATAGAAACTCATATTTTTGTCTGATGAGAGGTGTCGTCTGGGTGAGCTACAGCACAAAGCACTCAATTTTTCTCTTCTGACCCACAAAACTGGCACTTTTTTATTCAAAAACAATTTTTGTTGAGCTTTTGGTTTTATTTCTTTTTGCCTAATTCTTTTTTTATCTGTGCAAATCCATTATACATCCTATGTAGAATTTTGTTCAATGTGAGTCAGTCAATATTCAGAGCACCACTAGGGGCTGTTGAAATCATTAGGATGGTTTTCCGAAGAGCGTTACGCAGAACAAACAAAGTCTGCTGCCTTTTTCTTCCTTTGTAAGCAATCAATGCCTGACACAGAAGCGCCCTAACTCTTTTCTCTTTGGTTGAGACACCAGGAGCGGTGTCTTCTGTGTATTTATTTATTACCAGTGACGGCTCTGTTCTTGGGGAAGATGAACCTGGCATCCAGAGGTCACCACGGACCCTGCATCTGGCTCTCCAGGCTGCAAGTTAAAGTAACTCAGAATTTGAAGATTCTGGAGGATTGTTATTTCTAGAAGCATTTTCTGAAATCTCTGAGATGTCAAATCGATTCTCCCCGAGACACTTCGCCCTCTCACCAAGTCAATGACTAAGTTTATCACAGCTCTGAAAAACAGGAGCGGCTTGTCCACTGACTCTACATAATACCGGCGCAAGGTTCCCATTAAACTAGCAGTCGGAAAACTCGGAAGGAAGGAGAAGAAATAACAGGACTCACGAGCTGCTGAGTTGTTAACAGCATGGACTAGCTGTGCGATGGTGTTGGCGAGCTCTTCCTGCAGAGGCGGGGTTGGGGAGAAAAATGGGGGTTATCCTGGGCCAACATGAGATGCTCGTGCCGCGGCCTGCTTCCTCCTCCCACTTCTGCTGGCGGGAAGGTCTGCGCCTCTTGTCACTTCCACTAAGAAGTATGTATCTGAATATCTGAATTTTACCAAATGTGTGATTTCTAATGCTGATGGACTGTCATGCTAACTTGGTATGTCTGCAAGAACTGTGTTAAGCTACATGTTTAAAAAAGCATCTCTAGTTATCGGTTCAAATGAACTAGAAATGAAATAATTTAGTTATCAGTTCTTGGCTTTGTAACTATATCTGGCCATGTGCGGTGGCTCACGCCTGTGATCCCAGTACTTTGGGAGGCCGAGGCAGGTGGATCACCTGAGGTCAGGAGTTCAAGACCAGCCTGACCAAGATGGCACCCCCACAGCTCTACTAAAACTTCAAAAATTAGCCAGGCGTGCTGGCGTGTGCCTCTAGTTCCAGCTACTCGGGAGGCTGGGACAGAATTGCTTGAACTCGGAGGTAGACAGTGAGCCAAGATCGCGCCATTGCACTCCAGCCTGGGCCACAGAGCGAGACTCTGTCTCAAAACAACAACAACTAAAAAACCCACATCTAAGCTGGGCATGGCAGCTCATGCCTGTAATGGGAGCCCGAGCACTTTGGCAGGCCAAGGCAGGCGGATCGCTCGAGTCCAGGAGTTCAACGCCAGCCTAGGCAACACAATGAGATCCAGTCTCTACAAAAAAATACAAAAATTAGCCAGGCATGGAGGTGTGCACCTGTAGTCCCAGCTACTCGGGTGGCTGAGGCAGGAGGATCAGCTGAGCAATAGGGAGGCTGGGGCTGTAGTGAGCCATGATTGCATCACTGCACATCAGCCTGGGCAACAGAGTGAGACTGTCAAAAACACAAAAACAAAAACAAAAACAGGCCAGGCGTGGTGGCTCATGCCTGTAATCCCAGCACTTTGGGAGGCCGAGGCGGGCGGATCACGAGGTCAGGAGATCGAGACCATCCTGACTAACACGGTGAAACCCCGTCTCTACTAAAAATACAAAAAATTAGCCGGGCATGGTGGCGAGCGCCTGTAATCCCAGCCACTGGGAGGCTGAGGCAGGAGAATGGCATGAACCCAGGAGGCGGAGCTTGCAGTGAGCCCAGATCGCACCATTGCACTCCTGCCTGGGCAACAGGGCGAGACTCCGTCTCAAAAAAAAAAAACCAAAAAAAAAAAACCCAAAAAAAAACAAAACCAAAAAAACCCCAAAAACAAACAAAAAAACCACTTCACCATAATCCCAGAAATCCTGTGAAACACAAAGACAGCAGGGCAGACCCCACAGAGGTTAGATGCTGGGATGCTCACTGCACACCACGGGAAAGGCCTCCCCCGGCCTGGTCAGAGACAAGGTGGAATGTGAAGGTAAACCCAGCCTTCTGGGCTCTGTCCTGGGTGAAGGGGTCCCTGGAAACGCATGCCCTGCTGAGGTGCAGCAGGCTCACTCTGGGGAGATGCCCCCTGTTCCTGAGGTTTCGTGAGAAAGGCACACTCCTCATCGGTCTCACTCACACGGCACCCGGTCTGTTTTCCTTTGTGGGAGAATGAGGTTCCTGTCCGTTGGTTTTCTTCCTCCACTAAAGCTGTTGGTTGTTACTTTTGAATGTAATATAGAAATATTTTGCCCTGCTCCTACTCAAAATATGTTCAGTAAAATAAAAATAAATTAAAACAAGTTATTACGCAGCATGGGAGAAATGGCAAGGCTGCACATTAAAACCCAGAAAAGTAAAATCTCGCCCTGAGGACTTGTCATCTGCATCAGAGACCTGCAAGCACTTCTCCTCAAGGCTGGTTCTTCTACCTCAGGGGTGTCCAGTCTTTTGCCTCCTCTGAGCCACACTGGAAGAACTGTCTTGGGCCACACACAGAACACACTAACACTAATGATAGTGATGAGCTTAAAAAAAAAATCTCACAAGGTCCTAAGAAAGTTTACGAATTTGTGTGGGGCTGCATTCAAAGCCATCCTGGGCCGCATGTGGCCCGCGGGTGGACAAGCTTCCTCTACCTCTACAGAGGCAGATCTGATCTACGTTCATGGGTCAGAACAAAGCTTTTAAAAAGTGAAAGTCACTTCTTTAGTGTTGGCTTTGGTGGTGGGCTCAGCAGGCCCTGCAGAGAGAGACCGAGCCTGCTGCATGTTTGGATGACTGCGCAGGCACACTCGGCTTTAACAGGGAGGCTTTTGCGGAGCGCCTACCGCCTGCTCTCCGTGGAACCCGAAGCCCAGAGAAGCGGCTGCCTTGTCCTGGGTTTCACAGGGTCTTCACTAGTTAGTGCCCCTGTCATGCCATCCTTGACCACAAAAAATAAACTTACCAGAAGACAGAAACTTTAAGTAACGTAAAACCTAGCATGGAACCTATGAAATTTTACAGAGAAATAGTAAATTGACAATGAATGCACATCTTTCATTTTATTTGAAAAGACAATTCACCTAACTGTGTTGACACTGCATCCCTTTCTGTTTGGACAAGAGGTAAGAAAATGACTCCTTGAAGCATGACCGTCAGTGTGCGTCAGTGTATTGGGGGACTGGCACAGTGTGAGTGCTCAAGTCTCTTATCCAGCCACAGCAAGAACCAGGGAGCATGACAAAGGGAATGCACGTTACCTGTAGAAGGGGTTCATCCTGCACCCACATGCAGTAGAAGAGCCCCTTCCAGATTTTTAGAAGTTCTTCCTGACTGAAACCTCCTGGAAGGCAAAACAGCACAAACATCTTAAGAGTCTATGCATCTCCTTTCTAAAGTTTAGAAAGTGGTGAAGTACCACATACATTTTAATTCTCTTTCATTTGCACGTCTTTTTAAAAAATGGAAGCAAACATTTCCTTATTATTATAAAAGAAACACAAATAAATTACTATTGTACCTGCAGCTTTATCAGCTACAGGGTAGGGTGGCAGTGGTGGCCTGGCCTCAGCGTGAGGAAGCAAATGTCATCACAACACAAAATTCATGAACAAAGTGGCCACTTAGGAAATCAGCTCCCCCTCAAGGCCCTCCCTGCCCACCACGTGCAGCCATCCTGCACACTGACATTTTCGCTGGTCTTGTGAAGTAAAACTGCAAATCTTACAAGAGATGCGGGAGATTTGCTCATATGAAGCCCCAGCAATGGGCAGCCCCACTTCCGAGGAACAGAAAACCAGCCAGGCTGAGGACACAGGAGCTCCAAACAGTACATCTGAAAGTCAAAGGCCTAGGAAAGGGCCTGGGGACACTGACACTACTTTGGAACATTTTTGCAAAAATGACTTTTTAAGGATCCTAGTATAAGGTCAAAAGTGGCTGCCTCCCAATCACCCTCCCTGTAATCGTGATCATTTACTGCAGCATCACCAGGGTTGGCTTTGTTCTGACTCTAGTTACTTAGGGATCTACCTCTGCTTTCATGATCTATGACTAAATGACCAGTCTCGTTCAGCCTTAGATCTCCTGAGTAGATCCCAGGTGTCATAAAGTAGTTGCTGACTGACATAAAGAATCACAAAATGATAAGGTAGGTGTACACTCTTGGAGTTTCCGAGCCTATGGACCATGAAATTAGAACACAAACAGAAACCTCAAGTCTTGATGTGTGTTACAAATGGTCTTTATGAGGATTTTACTAGGAGATCCTAGGAGAAATCTTTTGGAGCAACAAAGTGCTATAAATTAGATGAATGCAAACAAATATTTAGAATCAATGTGATCTTAATACTCCAAAAGATGCTTAAAAAGTGACAAAAAGGGTCGGGCACAGTGGCTCACGCCTGTAATCCCAGCACTTTGGGAGGCCGAGGCGGGCGGATCATGAGGTCAGAAGATTGAGACCATTCTGGCTAACACGGTGAAACCACATCTCTACTAAAAAAAAAAAAAAAAATTAGCCAGGCGTGATGGCGGGCACCTGTAGTCCTAGCTACTCCGGAGGCTGAGGCAGGAGAATGGCGTGAACCCAGGAGGCGGAGCTTGCAGTGAGCCAAGATTGCGCCACTGTACTCCAGCCTGGATGACAGAGCGAGACTTTGTCTCTTAAAAAAAAAAAAAAAAGTGACAAAAAGACCTTTTTTGATGGACCAAAGTTTATTTAGTGTATTCAGAGTGCCTTTACCTTAATTTATAGGTATTGATTTCCACTTTACTAAGGGTCTTTCTCCCATCAACAATTTTATAATGGTACATTTCGATTCTTTTTTTTTTTTTTTTTTTTGGGACAGAATCTTGCTCTGTTGCCCAGGCTGGAGTGCTGTGGCACAATCTAGGCTCACTGCAACCTCCGCCTCCCGGGGTCAAGCAATTCTCCCGCCTCAGCCTCAGGAGTAGTTGGGATTACTGGCGTAAGCCACCACGCCCGGCCTGCATTTTGATTCTGATAGTTTTCCATGTAAAACCAAGATATCAGAAACTAACATAAAACTAGTTTATTAAAGTATATTTCCTTTCGCAGTTGGAAAGATGTACCAACTGGTTCTCTTGCCCTCTTGTTATGAACAAATCACGCCTGGGGATCCTCACATGGCTAATGTAAGTATGGTATGAGTGATAAACCCCACTAGAGCTGAGCCAACTGTGGTCATGATTGCAATAACTTTTTTTCTTGGTCACAGTGACCTGCACTTATATTTAATCATGTTCAAAGACCACATATATCCCCAGTGAATTAAAGGCTTTGGGCAAGATCATAAATGGCTTCATAAAACATTAGATGAAAAGATATCACCCAGGCGTGGCGGCTCACTTGTGCTTAGGAGTTTGAGACCAGCCTGGGCAACACAGCAAAACCCAGTCTCTACAAGACTGTACTCCAGTTGGGCAACAGAGCAAGACCCTGTCTTAAACACACACACACACACACCCCCCAACAACAAAACAAAAAATTGGCAGGGCATGGTGGCATGTGCCTGTAGTCCCAAGTACTCAGGTGGCTGAGGTGGGAGGATGACCTGAGCCCAGGAATTTGAGGCTGCAGTAAGCTATAATCGTGCCACTGCACTCCAACCTGGGCAACAGAGCAACTCTGTCTCACGAACAAACAAACAAACAAACAAACAATATTAAGAAACTTGAAAATGGATGTGTCAGACCATCAACACCCAAACCCACTGACTGATCATTAACATGCACAGGCAATCACTCATCAGATGCCAGAGGTGGTGCCAACAGGAAGAACGCTGCACCAACCTGTGAGGTATTCTTACAAAAGTAAAACAAAACAAAAAAACAAAAACCCAACTGTGTCAAATCTTAACTATTTTTTTTTTTTTTTTTTGAGATGGAGTCTGGCTCTGTTGCCCAGGCTGGAGTGCAGTGGCCAGATCTCAGCTCACTGCAAGCCCCGCCTCCCAGGTTCACGCCATTCTCCTGCCTCAGCCTCCAGAGTAGCTGGGAGTACAGGCGCCCGCCACCTCGCCCGGCTAATTTTTTTTTTTTGAGACGGAGTCTCGCTCTGTCGCCCAGGCTGGAGTGCAGTGGCCGGATCTCAGCTCACTGCAAGCTCCGCCTCCCGGGTTCACGCCATTCTCCTGCCTCAGCCTCCCGAGTGGCTGGGACTACAGGCGCCCGCCACCTCGCCCGGCTAGTTTTTTGTATTTTTTAGTAGAGACGGAGTTTCACTGGGTTAGCCAGGATGGTCTCGATCTCCTGACCTCATGATCCGCCCGTCTCGGCCTCCCAAAGTGCTGGGATTACAGGCTTGAGCCACCGCGCCCGGCCCCGGCTAATTTTTTTTTGTATTTTTAGTAGAGATGGGGTTTCACCATGTTAGCCAGGATGGTCTCGATCTCCTGACCTCGTGATCCGCTCGTCTCAGCCTCCCAAAGTGCTGGGATTACAGGCTTGAGCCACCACGCCCGGCCAAATCTTAACTATTAATACTAGTTTATAGGAAATACAGGGGACAGAGGAACATGGTAAGTGAGACAACAGGATGCAGTCAACAAACCCCAAATATGTGAAACTCTACAAAGCATATGACCTATGTCCTCCAACAAATAAACTGTACAGAAAAAAAAGATGTAAGAACTGTTAGAATTTAAGAGAGTCTTGGCAGACACATTAACCAAACGCAACGGGTGGTCCTCATTTGGATTGGTCATAAAAAACATTTGAGATGATGAGAAAAACTAAACAGATTGGATATTTCATGCTATTAAGGATTTTTTTTTTTTTTTTGAGACAGTCTCACTCTGTCACCCAGGCTGGAGTGCAATGGCGCAACCTCGGCTCACTGTAACCTCTGCCGTCTGGGTTCAAGTGATTCTCCTGCCTCAGCCTCCCAAGTAGCTGGGATTACAGGGACCTGCCACCGCGCCCAGCTATGTTTTGTAGTTTTTAGTAGAGATGGGGTTTTGCCATGTTGGCCAGGATGGTCTCAGTCTCTTCATCTTGTGATCCGCCTGCCTCGGCCTCCCAAAGTGCTGGGATTGCAGGCGTGAACTACCACGCCTGGCTGCCACGCTAGTTTTAAGGGGGAAAGTGAAGTACAGCTTTGTGCAGAAGCTCAACTGCTGGTGCCAGCACTTTGTTTTTCTCCACTGCAACCTCTGCTGCCCCAAAGACTGTCTCTATTCTCAGACAGGATCCACTTGTGTTACAAGGTGGCTGGGAGCAGGTACAAACTGTGTGTTCTCTTCAAGTCCAGTAAGGAGAGAGCTAGAGACTCCTAAGGACTGAGCAAGAAGATTTTTACCTGCAGAGGGTCGCTTGGCTTTCCTTGAACCTGTCCTGTGGCCAACGGAATTCTGCTGACTTGGCGGAAGCCGCCTCCTCTCCATGTGGGGTAAGCCCCACCCAGACCACAGAGTCCCTCCGCACCCTGCTTGAAGGTGGAGAGCCTTGGAGAGGAATCACAACGTAGCTGCCCAGCAAGGACAAGGAGTGCCCCGAGCCTGACCCCACACAGTCACCTGGGTCCTTTAAATCCTCTTTTTGTGTTTAAGTTGATTAACGCTCCTGCCCTTCCAGTTACATCATTGTCTTAGTCTGATGCATTGCTACAAAGGAATACCTGACGCTAAGAGGTTTATTTGGCTCAGGGCTCTGCAGGCTGTACAAGCATGGCTCCAGCATCTGCCTCCGGTGAGGACCTCAGGGAGCGTCCTGTCTTGGCTGGAGGGGAAGGGGAGTTGTCATGTCACATAGCAAGAGAGGAGGAAGGTGCCAGGCTCTTTAACAGTCAGATCCCACAGGAACTAGGAGTGAGCACTCACTTAATCCCAGGAGAATGGCACCAAGATTCTCCATGAGGCAGGAGAATTGCTGGAACCTGGGAGGTGGAGGTTTCAGTGAGCCAAGATCGCACCACTGCACTCCAGCCTGAGCGACACAGCGTGACTCCATCTCAAAAAATAAATAAACAAATAAATAAATAAAATAAAATAACTCTAGCGTGGTGTGGATGTTCTGTCAAGTTGCAACTGAAAGAGTCCTAATTAATAAAAACACGTTTATTGCAAAGAACCTTACCACCACCAAAGTGATATAATCACAAGCTTGTCTTGCTCCCTGCCTCCTGAATCCCAGGCTCTGAACCAGAGGGACTGATGCAACCTGTCTGATGTGCATCTTTCCAGATCTTTCCTGTGCATTTATTTACAGAACAGTTACATGTAGTGCAGAAAAGCACAGTTGTGTGTGTGACCTAAATGGCAAAATATTCTGTATTCTGGTCTTTCTCACTTAAAAACAGCACATTTATCTCCAGATGGTTTT